TTTATGACACACGTGCTTGTTTTATGTGTTTCCAAATGTTAATGCAATATTTAGGAACATGAGATTTTTCTTAGTGAATCTAGGAAAATAAGCAGGTTAGTCAAATCGATGCTCGGCATCGTTCAGTTTTTGGTCCAAAACACATCCAATTGGCCATATTTTAGTCCTCTTTTGTTTGCTGCTATGTGTGAACTTTTCTATTTGGTCTTTCATTTAGCACCAATCTGAAAAGTATTCCTAGTCAATAGCTAGTGGAAATAGTCAGGTCTAAACTGCAGTAGATATGCTGCCTCATAGTCATAGCTGTGTTTCAGCATGTTTGGATTCTACATACTCGACTCATACACTTGAGTACTTGACTACCAGTCAGCTCTAGGATTAAGAAAATAGCCATTACCTTGGCGTTTTTTTTAAAGCTACCTAGGTTGGTTGGAACATTTCCTTGGCCTGCGGGGTACGAGTCTCCAAACAAAAGCTATTTACTTGGCATTAAGACATTTCCTTTTCCGTATGACACATTAGATGTGGCCCTATTTTCCTTGGTAGCCAAACGGCCAAGGAAATGTATTTCCCTTGCCCTGTATTTTTGGTGGACTTTGCTGATGGTTTCCCACCATGAGCTATTTCCTTTATGGTTTCCCGCCTTGAGCTATTTACTTGGCTGCCTACAGCCCTCAAGGTAATTCAGTTTCCTGGTAGTGTGTGTCCATTCCAATTGAAGCATGTGAGTAGCCCTCAAGGTAATAAGTCTGTTTAATTTTGAAGTTCTGGGGTTGCAGTTTACCTGTTCTGAACTCTACTTTTAACTTGTCAAATGTAAGGGCTGTGCAATAAGTGAACTAGGGTACCTTTTTTGTTTTAAGTTAAACCAGCATGCTTTAACTGATTATGCAGACAAAATGACAGTTTCATTCTTTTCTTACTATGCATTTCATATTTTTTTCTTGTTAAGGGGCCACATTTGTCAAGCAAATAATGTGTAATAGACTAGCTGAAGGTCCTTGTGTTGCTATGGGAAAAACAAATATACAATCCGATTATGTCATACAACCACCATTTCACTTGATGACCAACATCAAGTGTTAAACTCTAGTATGGGGCAAACATCTATTGATCCTGTACTCGGCTACTGAAGCTCAAAACTCATGTCATCTACCATATATATGTATGCTAACTCATGTTGTGACTTGTGTTCGAACAAGTGATGGAGACATGGATGACTTCCCGATTAGGATAGGACTACATCAAGGGTCAGCTTTGAGCCCTTATCTGTTTGCCTTAGTGATGGATGATGTCACAAGGGACATACAAGGGGACATCTCTTGGTGTATGCTTTTCGCGGACGATGTAGTGCTAGTTGATGAAAGCTGGACAGGAGTGAATGAGAAACTGGGGTTATGGCGGGAGACTTTGGAGTCCAAAGGTTTTAGACTCAGTAGAACTAAAACTGAGTATATGAGATGTGACTTCGGCACTACTACTCGGGAGGAGGAAGATATTAGTTTGGAAGGTCAAGTAGTTCCTAGGAAGGATACCTTTCGATATTTAGGATCAATGCTACAGGGAGACGGGGATATTGATGAAGATGTTAGCCATAGAATTAAAGCAGGGTGGATGAAGTGGCGCCAGGCATCTGGTGTCCTATGTGACAAAAGGGTACCACAGAAGTTAAAAGGCAAGTTTTATAGAACGGCGATTAGACCTGCTATGTTGTATGGTGCAAAATGTTGGCCTACGAAAAGACGACATGTTCAACAGAGAAGTGTCGCGGAAATGCGTATGTTGCGTTGGATTTGCGGTCATACAAGAAGGGATCGAGTTCGGAACGATGATATACGTGATAGATTAGGGGTAGCACCAATTGAAGAAAAGCTTGTCCAACACCGGTTGAGATGGTTTGGACATGTCTAACGGAGACCTCCAGAGGCACCGGTGCGTAGTGGAATCTAAGCCAGGATAGTAACGTGAAGAGAGGTAGAGGAAGACCGAAGTTGACTTTGGTTGAGGCAATAAAAGTAGACTTGAAAGGATGGAATATACCTAAAGACTTAGCCTTAGATAGGAGTGCTTGGAAAACAGCTATTCACGTGCCTGAACCTTGATTGCTTCTGCTGGGTTTCAACTCTAGCCTACCCCAACTTGTTTGGGACTTAAAGGCTTTGTTGTTGTTGTTGTTGTTGCATGGTTGGTTGGTTTTGTTTTCTTCCTTTTTTTCCTTGCTAGAAGTGGTTCAGCCTGAGTTGAGATTCAAATTATTTTTTTCTCTCTTAAAAGTAGAGCCTGTAACTAGCCCCAGGCTTGTTGAAAACCATTTGGCCATTTGGGGGCCACCAGGATGGTGGCCTGACCCAAACAATCTAACCAGTTCCTTTCGTTTATTGTGAATGGATGCCTTTCCGTTGTTCGTGCTTTGGCTGGCTATAGTGCATTTACATCTTCTAACAAACAAATGCTTTGAATTTCAGGCCCTCATTGGATTTTGTGGTAAAAGATTTACATGTGGCTCCAAACTAAGAGCCCATGCCAAGTCATATGAAAAGGTACTGCTATTATGCTTAAACTTATGTAGTCATCATTCAAGGTGCACTGGGCCTTGTGGTTGATTGTTGCAGTGTTTACCCTTTTTTTTAATACCTAACTAAGTTACATCCTAAGTAAGTAAAAATAATCAGTAAAAGATTCTTTTAACCAACTATTTTTCCACTAGTGCTAGCATGCCAGACTAATAGGCTATATTGCAGTATTGCTAAGTGCTGCTGCTCGATTTTTGTCCTTCTATTGTGTGTTGTGCTTATGCTATAATTCTATGTTATCAGCCTATGAGCCTCCGTATAGATGCCTTCATATGCATTTATTTCATTCTATGTTACTTATGAAATTATAAAGATACCTAAGGATGAGGTCACATCGATAAACGAGTCCTTCCTATGCATTTATTTTTTAGAGTTAAATGCACGAGCGGCCCTTGAACTTGTAAGCATGTGTCACATAGACCCCTGAACTTTGAAAATGCATTTCTGGACCCCCTAAACTTGTTTAGTGGTGCACCGCAGGCCCTTGCCAGCCATGTGGATATTTTTCGCTGATGTGGCATGCTAGCATGGCATGTATTTTGCCTTTAACCCCCTCACATTTACTTTTCTCATAAAAAATAGACCTTTCCTCCTCTCTCATCTGCCATGGCCACCATGTGCATCAGCTCCCGGCGGCTTGCAGTGGCAGGAGAGCAGGTCCAGGCCTCAGCGCACCCAGGAGAGCCTGCGGCCACGCCCTCACTAGCCGCGTTTGCACCCGCACCACGCCACCTGTATGCATGGAGAGCTCGGGGCCCCTAGTGGTTGCATGGCTGGGCGAGCTCGGCCCCAGGTGCAGATGGCGGCGACACGGCCGGGGATCCGAGATTTGAGGAGGTCAAAGGCGGAGGGTGTGCGTGGACGGCGGGGAGGGGGTGCTACTGCTGGTACCTGTGCGCGTGCCCATGCTCCTGCCTAGGCGGTCGCTCCACGCCTGAGCACGCTCGACCGCGCCGCATCTGCCCCAATCACCGCTGTCTCCCTGCTCGCCGTTGACTGCTGAGTGGAGGCGAGCGTCGAGCTCCCTCTTCCCCTCCTCCTCTGACCCGCCCAAGTCTACCACCACCTTCCCCACTTCCTGCTGCCACCGCGAGGCAAGCCGCGGGCTCTCCCGGGTGCGCCGAGGCCTGGGCCTGCTCTCCTGCCACTGCTCACCGCCGGGAGTTGATGCACATGGTGGCCATGGAACATTAGAGAGAAGGAAAGGTCTATTTTTATGAGAAAAGTAAATGTGAGGGGGTTAAAGGCAAAATACATGCCACGCTAGCATGCCACATCAGCGAAAAATGTCCACATGGCTGGCAAGGGCCCACTTAACAATTTTAGGGGTCCAGAAATGCATTTTCAAAATTCAGGGGCCTATGTGACACGCTTATAAGTTTGAGGGCCGCTCGTGCATTTAACTCTATTGTTTATATCAGGTGAAGGGTATCTCAAACTCTAGTTATTATGTTATCTGTGGGTGAACATATGACTATAGAAACAGCTTTGTCCCTGACATCCAGGTTCGTCCGAGATATTTTTTGGACTATTCAGCAAGCGTAACTGATTAACTGGCTAACTGCATATAGCAGCTAGTTATACACAGAGGAAAACTCTGGTTGCAATGAGTTGCAGTACATCTAGTTTGTCAGATTAATCTCATATCAATTGACAATATAGTTAAAACTGACTAAATAATCTTTTAAGTTCCATGGTGTTACTTTGTAAATTCATGTTTGCTAATATGAATTTTGTTTACTCTTTCCATGTGTCAATGCAAAGTTTGCATATATCCGTGGTCTTTCGAAAGATTTTGTGGCTTTTCTGCAAGTTTAACTGATTGTGTATTACAGTTGCACAAGTAAAAGAAAAATCTCAGGTTGCAATAAATTACAGCACCCCTAACTACTCAGATTCATGTCATATTGATTTAATATAACTTACTCAACTAAACAACCATTCTTTAAAAGTTCGAATAATCATTCTTTAAAAGTTGCATAGCATGTTTTTGTAAATTTTAAATTTTTTAATACGACCTTTGCATACTCTTCCCATGCTAATTGATTGCGTCCATTGGTGGTCTTGATGCAGACTGGAACACCTGTTGCAGTGCAACATACACCATCAGCAGAGAAACAACAAAGGGCCCTGAAGCCTTCAACTCCAGCAACAACTACAAGCTTTGCTGATTATCGATATGCCTGCGGCCTGCCCCTATGAAGGCTGCAACAAAGCATACATTCAAAGTTACAAATGGACCATCTAAAAACTCAGCTCCTGAACACGATCAAGAGGAAAATGGTAAGCTCGGTGCTTCTGCTAGTCAGCATGTTGTGACTGAACCGACCTATCAGTATAACTATGCTGATGTTGGTGAAATTGCAGCAAACCCCAAAAGAAGCAAGATGAACCTTGTGCACAAGGTCCACTCATCCAAAGTCTACAATGGCAAGATTTCGAGACCGATGCCTTCTGACATCAGTGCTCAGTGGTTTCAGGAACCAGTGGCCAGGTAAAACAAAGTATGAAGATGACAGTGAAGCGACCGAAGAAGATGGGGGCAACATTGAAGATGGCTGGAGATATGGCAACAACGCTGATGATGAGGAAATGCTGGATGAAGATTGACCTTTAGATTGGAGTTGGGCATGTAGATAGATGTGGTGGTCTGCTACTTTTTAGTTTCTGCAAACTATAAATCAATGCAGCAGTGGGTAATTTCAAGCTTTAACCGTAGGTAGTAGTTGGTTCGGATGGTGTGCATCAATATATTGTACTCTGTTATCTGCTCTTGAATATTTGGTTCCCCATGTGACAGAGGGACTAATTGCCACATCTATGTAGATAAGTTGGAATCGGTTTCCATGACACAAGTTCTGATTTGAAACATAACTCTCCAGTTTAGTTGTTTTATTTGACGAGCTATGTAGTTGAAAGATTCATCCATGCAGACATGCAGTTTAACCATGAACAAGCTTTGTTTATTACAGTCCACGAGAACTTATTCAAGCAGATCACTCTCAGGTGCCTACTGTTGGGCGCTGCCAACATGAACTTGATCATAGCTGCCACCAGGAGGAGTAAACACAGCGAGCTCATGTTTTCTACTGTTCTTCAGCTCTGCAGCTTCCTCCATGGAGACGCCATAGGAGCTGGCGATGACGGCCACCGGCAAATTGCTGAAGACGGAATTCTTACCGGCAATGTGGCTGACAATGGAGTTAGGGTTCGTCTCGAAGGAGATGTACTGGAACCCTTCTCCTTGTGCCTTGGTGGCAACAAGGTAACCTTGGGGTATGATGAGCAGCTGCCCCGGACGAAGCACGCCGTCGAACACCGTCGTCCCGTTGTCGCTGGCGACCTGAACCCTGGCACAACCTCTGATGGTGTACATGGCGCTGTGGGCGTTGAAGTTCCAGTACGGCGACAAAATGGCATCCTGCAAACACAAACAATTCCAGTTAGCAATGAAAGAAAACATCTATCTATCTGCAGATTATTTATCGCAAATTCGTAATTCACATTGTACGTCATCGATTGTGTTTACCTGATATAGGTCTACTCGCACCGCGCTCATCTGAATCAGGTCGAGAATTGGGAACTTGCGGCTGGTCAGGCGTGTGATCCTTCCAGCACCAGGGCTGTAGACGTCAGCCTGGTCCAGGCGTTCGACGCTGTGCCTCACCTCCATGGTGCAGATGTTGTTACTGCCATCGCCGTCAAAACGTTGACATGTTTGGCGATGCTGGTACTGAAGATGCTGGTCATGTGATGGAAACGACGGCGACGGTGGGTTCAGCAGGTGAAGGCCATGCTCCAGCTCCACACGGACTATTTCGCCTCGCTGGTCATGTCGGCTCTGAAGCTTCTTAGTGACATTCATGCTGACACCCAGGGCTTCGCTCAGGAACCGGGCGTCGATTCCTTTAAAGATGTTCTCGGCGAAGTGGGGCTGCCCCTTGCTGAATCCCCCAGCCAGCAAGAACTTCTGCAAATTGTACAAATATATATATGTAAGATGCAAGAACAAATTGGCGACTTATATTGTAATGAAGGATGGAGCTAGTACTAGTACCCTCATGGAAGGCTCAAGCTGGTTGATGTTGTTGTTTGTGTCGAAGACGTAGATCGCCACAAGCGGCGCATCGCCGTCGTTGTACAGCCAGTGCTGCGCACCGGCCGGCATGGCCACCACATCTCCCTGTTCGAATCGGTGGATCTTGTGATGCTCGTCAGGGCGCTGATGATGTTGATGTTCATATCCATATCCGTATCCATACTGCTGCTGGGTCTCTTCTTGGCATCCCGGAAACGAGAACCCAATAATCCCTCTCCCTACACATATAGTGAATGAATGATTGATAAGATGAAATGAAACTATTGTTCAGTTGTTCTTGTAATTGCATATATAGCACAATCTCTAGAATCTAGATGAGGTACATATAACACTACACGCATATATGTTACCTTGGAGGATGTAGACAAGAGAATGGAGGTTGGAGTAGCGAGGAAGAAGGAGGCCCAAGGCGTCGACGACGACACGGACGGCGAAGACGCCGGCGCAGGTGAGCTCTCGGTCGGCTTCGGTGAACCGGCTGAAGTACTCGACGGAGCCAGCCTCGGACTGCACCTTGTGGCGCGGCTCCAGGGCCTCCAGCTTGCCGTCGAAGCCGCACTCCCTGGCGGCTCCTCCCCGGGACGCCCCCCATGATGAGCTGCTGGCTGCTGCGCCGGCGCCGGTGCAGCACAGGAGGAGAAGCAGGCACAAGGAGGGAACCGGCAGCTGGCCGGGGAGTGCCGCCGCCATTGCTTCTGCTCACTCACTCACTCTCTTCAGTAACGACACAGTGAGTGCTGTTGCCGTGTGTGTACAGTGCTAGCAGAGGCCGTCCGGGGTCTTTTTTTTTTATAGAAAAAAGAATGTGCTGCTGGTGTTCCAAAAAAATGAAAAGGAATGAAATAAACAAAAATGAAATGAAATTAAAACATTCAAGAAAAAAGTGTTGCACCTCTGAACAAATTCTGGCCTTGTCTTTGTGTGCGCTGGTGCTTGCTTTGCTGTGATAGGAGCTGTGTTGGTTGGGAATCTGACAAGTTAGACATGTAAACTCGTAGGCGTGACCTGCTTTTTTTAGAGATAACATATTTGTATCTAGCTAACAAACTCGATCGACCAGCAGTAGAGATCGACGTGGATGATCAACAGTTTCGACTTGTTGCTTGTGCTGACAGTAGTCAGAAAGGCCGCTTCAGTTTTGTACTGACTCCAACAGTTTGTTGCGCCTTTAGTTTACACGCACGTACGTACAATCCGACTACGACTGTCCAGGTGCATTTGCGATCTGCCTACGCCTCTTCCCTAACACTCACTACCAGATGTATGATGACAAAGTTGTTAGATTAATTACTTTTGTTTGGTTGCTAGTTATTGTACGTACATGTTTTCACCTACAAATTTTGTGGCCGTGGGATAGCTCACTGGTGCAGATAGGGTTACAGTGCCGATTGGAAACCCCTTTCAGTGTCGGTTTTTCAACCGGGAATGCGAATCCAGGACTAAAGATCCTCCTAGTCTCGGGTCAGGGAACCAAGACTGAAAGACGACCTTTAGTCCCGATCGGTAATACCAACGGGGACTAAATGTATCCCCAGACCTTGCCCTAGGTCTGACACATTTAGTCCCGGTTGATGTTGCCAACCGGTATTAAAAGTACTTTTTCCCTTTTTCTTTATGGTTTCTTTTTAATTTTTTTTTGTCTCAATTAGCTTTTCGTATACGAATTCTACGCTACTAATATATTTCCATACGTATAATTTTCCGTTCGAGCATTATACATAAATAACACATTAAAATATATGAAACTATACAAAGATTTCAAAAGCTTGTACATGGAATATGTAATGCTCTTGTTTAACTCTGACAAGAATCCATTCCATGCTCTTGTTACACGCATCTAAGCTAAAACATCTTATAATTTGGAATGGAGGGAGTAGTATGGAAATCATACCAATTTCAGTCTAATGTCATGTTTCCCTAGTGAAGCCACATCCACCATTGGATTCAGATGATTCTGAATTCGGTTGGATTCAGAATAAGCGTTTAGAATCAAGAGTACTAGTGAGAATGACCAATCCAATCGAGCAAAGGGACACTATTGCAGCGGGTGGGGCATGCTTTTGCAAGGTGCCTTCTCCCTTCCGATGAAGGCCTCCCTCTCACCCACCCGTTGCGTGACTACTCGGTGGAGAAGAGAGAGAGAGAGAGTGCCAGTTCCAACCTCCTCCTCCTCCAACTCGCAAACACCGTGGCTGCTGCCTGCCACGTCTGGGTACCGAGGCCTTCCGGGTGCATGATGCCATCATGCCCACTTGTCAGCATTCCACATGTATGGCGAGTAGGCGCACCCACAATAAGAAAGACCATGCAATGCATGCAGCTGTTCAAATCCAAAGGCCAAATTAAAGAGCTGAACTGGTCATTTTAAAAGTTAAGAGATAAAATTGATCATTGGACCATACTAATTGAGAATGCCTTTTTTGCCTCGTGAAATAAGAAGAATACGTGGCGTCGGCATCAGCAAGCGATGGCCGCGCCCGGCGTCAACCCCCTCTTCACTGATTTAAGTGCTTTCTCTGGCGTTCTCTCGCACACACAACAGAGCCCCCCGCCTTGCTTCTTCGAAAACCCCCATGCGGTGAGCCACCCTCGCCGCCGGCGCCGGTTGAGCCCAATGATGATGGAGCTCCCGCGCTCTCCTCTCCACCTTGTGAAGAAAGGGGACAACTTTATGCTTGAAAACCCGTCCCCATGCGTCACTAGCCCCTCGCCGTCCATCACCAGTGGTAGCTCTGGCCCGGCGTCCACACAACCCTACGCCGGCCACCACCCCCACCCTCGTGCTTCCCCTCATTAGTAGTGATTCATCTTCACAAAGGTGGGTTCTTGAAGATGGAAAACCCCCTCCCCTAGCCCGTGCATCACCCACTCTACCGTAGCTCCAGCCCCGACGCTCCACATATCCCTACGCCGGTGTCGTGTGAACCTATAGGAGAAGCTTTGTGTGTCCGTCCCAGAGGGTTTACGGTAGACTCGAGGTGTCGCCCGTCGCCACGCCGGTCATGCCCACTGTCGTGATTCTTCACAAAGGTGCATTCTTGGAATTTGTAAAACACCTCCACCATGCATCACCTACCTCTCGCCGTCTATGGTAGCATGGTCCTGGCATCCATACAACCCCACGCCAGTGCCCGCTTTGGTGTGTGCATCCGGATCTCATTTCTAAAGTAAAAGTGATTGCTATCCCTAAGCTATAGGAAATCACCAACTTGGATCTATTAAGTTATTATTGCGAACTAGACTCTAGCATCAAAATATGCAACAATGATTATGCCCTCGACAATGAATTCCTTTTGAGTTAATAGTGCATCCCTAGGAGGGTGTACATTAACGAGGGACCAGATTATTCCCCTTTCCACCATTACCTAAAGAAATATTTGTCCAGCGTAGCTTTGGCCCCCAACATTTGGCTCTTGAGATGAGGGTGTGTCTTTATATTATGGCCTTTGTCAAGATTGGTTTTGTCATTTGCATGAACCTAGGGGAGGTGTGAGATATGGATGGCTAAGAT